AATATATATAAACTCCCCAAAACAGGCGAAAACCTACCAGTTTCACCCACTGTCTCTGCCACCTCCCTCCATGACTGGTTCTTCCAGTTTGTATCCCGGTAGGTGAAGAGGGTCTGGTCATACAAAACCGGGTGATTTGCTACGGCGATAAATAGTTTCTCCTCCATCTTTTTTTGAAATATAGAAATCAACGGCGGGATATCTCTCCCAGCTTAGATGCGGTTTGATTGGCTAGCGCTTGAGCTGTCAGATTTTCAGAAACGGGATTTGATTGGCTGGCGCTGGCTACTCCGGCGTCTCCGGCGTCAGAAGTTGAACATTGTTCAACTTCTGACGGCGGAGACGGACCGCTATGCTACCCACAATTCAGTTCGGCGAAAAGCGAGGCAACGTGACGTCACCCCATTCAAAGTGAATGGGCAGACGCGTTGGAAACTGTTTTTGAAGCTGTCGACGCTGTAGTGTGGACGCAGCATTAAGAAAAACATCATGACAATGATGGCCAGGCATTACTACAAAAGCCAATTTGATTCAATATATTATCTCCCCCTGTATTGATATTGTGATTGTGATGTTGACCAAATCGTAGAAATTATTTACCTGAAAATATTTATGTCCATTGCCCACCCCTTACAGCTACGACAAGCTACACCAAAACATGCTCTATAAGCCAAATATTATTAGAAGAGATAGAACACCTAGTTTAACAACACAAAGACTCAGTCGGATGTGGCAAGAGACAACGTAGAAGCACAAGGACGATAGCCTCAATCATTGCATACCTTCTAGTGGCTCTTTGGTCCCCTGCCTCTTTGTGTCAGCAGCTGTTCCAGCACCCGTCTTTTCAACTGGGATAAAACACAACAATAACCTCACAATATTGTAGTGATGAAATATATATCCTTAAGACAACAGCCAGCCATGAGAACGGAAAGCAATCAAAAATCATTAACGCTTCAAGTAAAAACCTCTCACAGATCATTATCAATAATCCAACACGCAGCAGCATGCCAACACAGATGTGCCAAAGTACCATAAACATAGAATCAAAATATCCAAGACTCAACACAAAACTGGACAAACAAAGCATTAAAACATTATTAAAATCCGACCAAAAAAAGCAATATCAGCATTTGCCACAAAACAGAATTGACAGAATAGCAACAAGGCCTAACGAGAAAACAAAAGCCACTTTCTTATATTTAATGGTAAATCCAAACTGAACTGCCTACTCCCTCCATATTTCCAGTTCTTCTTTGTCTACAACCTTTAAAACTAAATCTGGAATAAAACAAATAACAACCATGCGTAGTATTGACAGATGTCACAGTATCTGACAGAAGCTATGCAAGCATGTTTCTTATTACCTTCCCCTGCAACTTTAAGCTCTTGAGAATCCGTATGTACCTCCACTTTGAGGAGCTGCTGTTGAGTCTGTCCAGTAGGTGGCAGTGTTACAGCTATGAAATTGAACACAACGAGACACCACAGATGTGAACAGATGTTGAGAAAAATTACAACTTTTTTGGAGTTTATCACAATATTAGCAAAAGGTTAGGTCAAAACATTTCAGTTTGATAACACCTGTCAGCAGCAAAGAACAATAACCTGAAGACAAGAGCCGAATAAGCCAGTAAAGCACATATAAACGCTAATGACCCTGTACAACCAGTCTAAAGGTCTTTAACAATCAACAGGGAACTGGAGCAAACATAGCACTAAAACAATTGGACAAAATTACCTAAGTGCCACAAAATGGAGAACAGCAACAATAACGAGCGCTAACAAGAAAACAAAAGCCATCCTGTCTATATATTTCCATTACAGATTTGTCAAAACCAATGCCACAGACAGTTAAACAAACTGAGCGGCATACGTGTAGTCCCTCTATATGTTCCAGTTCTTCTTTTTTGTCAAGTGAGTTTTTCAACGAGCCAGAAACTATATCTGGAATAAAACAATGACGACCATGCTTACTGTATCCGACAGACACCATGCAGACACGTGTGCCATTATATTACCTTCGGGTTCCATTTCAAGGCTTTGAGAATCTTTCTGATTCTCCTGTTTGAGGAACTGCTGTTGAGGAGTCTGTCCAGTAGGTGGCAGTGTTACAGCTATGAAATTGAACACAATGAGGTGTTTCTCAATCGTGAGTACGCTTGCTTGGTAGCACATGTCTTCCGAGCGTCTTGCTTCAAAAGCAAGGCAAGAATACTTCCTGGCATTCGGAAAACGAAGAGTGGAACAGGCTAGCAAGTGTGCAGGCGTCATATGAGAGGCCCCGCCTTACATTTTCCACCACAGATTTGGGAAATTGGTCCGTGCGCAAAGCATTGTGGGGATTTTAAGACCGCGGAGTCTACACATGTGCAGCCTCGACATTTCTCCTAACGAAGTACGCCGGCCTCGGTAGAATTCCAAGTATGCTGGACATTGGAACAGTACTTCGGCAGCACTCAATGACGTAGTATGCTTGAAATAGTGGCTCTGGAGCAGCTTTACTCGCGATTGAGAAACACCCTGTGACACCACAAAGATCCACAGCTGTTGAGATAGATTACAACTTTTTTTGGAGTTTATCACAATAGTAGCAAACTGTTTGGTCAAAAATATTTCAGTTTGATAACACCTGTCAGCAGCAAAGAACAATAACCTGAAGACAAGAGCCAGATAAGCCAGTAAAGCACATATAAACGTTAATGACCCTGTACAACCAATCTAAAGATCTTTAACAATCAACGAGAACTGGAACAAACAAAGCACTAAAACAACAGGATAAAATTATGTATGTGCCACAAAATGGAACAGGGAAACAAACGAGGGCTAACAAGAAACAAAAGCCAACTTCTGTATATATTTCTCACAATTATTAGGCAACATAACAAACAGCACAGACAGTTAAACAAACTGAGCTGCCTACTCCCTTAATAGTTTATAATTCTTCTTTCTTAAGTGTGTTTATCTAAAAGACTTAAAATACATTATATCTGGAATAACTCAAATGACGACCATGCTAACTCTAACTGATAGACGCCATACAAACATGTGTCTCATTACCATCACTTCCCACTTGAGAATCTCCATGAATCTCCTGTCCAGTAGTTGGCAGTGTCACAGCTATAAATTGAACATAGCATCAGACCCACACGTGCCTTAGGATAGCACTAGTGACATGTAATAACAGCTGAAAACAAAGTCAGTCTCCATGCAACAAAGTCAACGAGGCACCACAGATATCCATAGATGTTGAGATTGATCTTTTTTGTGTATACAAGCTTAAAAAATGACATTTACCAAGTGAATAAAAAAGCCACATTTAGCAGGCTGAATAAATAGCACAGGTTAGCTTGGAAATATAAACATGTGTAATATATTAAACCTTAAAGCAATTCCATGAAGCAAAACAAAACACAATGTAAGTCAATTCATGACCCAACAACTTTCTATCAGATAACACCAGTCAGCAGCCAACACAACTTGATAAAACTGAATAAATAGTCATTTGTTTTTCTCAATTTTGGCATAACGAAGCAATTCATTGGACTGATGATTGACAAATGGACATGGGTTAAATAACCAAGCAAAGCCAAGAATCTTCAGAGAATTACCTTCTACTGTCTCATTTATCTCTTGCTTCTTGTGCTCATCTTGAGCAACTTTGGAGGGAGCTTCAGGGGCTTTTGCTGAAATAAAAATATCATATGGACATCATGCTGCATGAATGTCATGTCACCAACCAGTGACAATGCCTTACCTACATCATTTAATATAAAGACCTGAGCCCAGCCTCTATAACTGCCATAAACTCAAAGACCGTCAGAGGGCAAAGAATTATGCCAGACACAGGTAACTAATGCATATGTAAAATCAAAAGCCAACAATAGGTATGATTCCCAAAGCATCACTGTGCTATCAGCACAATTAGCACACACAGCCTTCATTTACATATACTGCAATCCAACTGAGGGAAAAGACCCACACAAACATTGCAAACACATAACCATAACTCCAGGGGTGCATTGGACACACCAGAGGCACACAAAACTGCAGCCTAAAAACGGGTAAACTAAAAAGCCAAAACATGGGAGGAATACATGTATCATAACCTATATAGGCCTAAGCGTATAGGCCAGATTTAAGGGCAAGCTGCACTTGGCGACACAAAGACCACTATCAAAATCGACAGAGCACATAAAGCCAGAAGACAAGACAACAAATTGCCGTCCTCCATCCATACCTTTGATTGTTTCTTTGGACTCCTGACTCTTAGATTCTGGTTTAGAAGCTGAAAGAGGAGCTGCAAGCTTCAGAGCTGAGAGGAAACAATCTGATCTTAGAATGCTGTAACATGCCTGATCGTTTTAAGTATTTTGCCATTATGATTAAAATAAAATAAAACATCAACTGAAATTCAAAAAATGTTTTGGAACAAGCATGACAAATAAAACACAGTTGATAGCTACAACACTGCATGAACAAACCGATCTGTTGGCGGAAATAAACAAGAACAGTTCACAGACCAGCAGACATGCATTATGAATCCTCAACACTCATCATTGATAACAAAGTCAGACTGACGTGTTCTGATAGTAGTCAGTTGTGGCTGCTTCGTTCATTGTTTGTTTTGTAATCTCAAACACATTTTGAAGAGAAGATGAAAACTCAAAGTGTATCACAGCGAAGAGCACACAAAGGGATCAAGGCACAGTCATCCATCTATTCATCCACCACATACAACGGAAAAGACAACATCTGATGTACGACATCCACAAATATGCTGACATTTTGTGAGCCAGCAAACAGAAAAGAACAACAAATTATAAAAAGCAACAGAAATGTTATCTTAAAATTAATCTTCAGGTGCTTCTATCAAGACAAAACAAAAGTGTAACACAAATCTTTTCTCTAATCCAAATCAATGTTTAAAGTAGTTAATACATTTGAAAAGTACATCTAATTGTAGTGAATATCACCCAAGAAATCCCTGATCCTCCTACCATTGATCTTGAGACTGGCTGTGGACTTCAGGTCTCCACACACACAGCTGTAGTCTCCACTGTCCTCTGGCAGCACTTTGGTGATGAGGAGTTCATTCACAGAGGCCTCCTGCTTCATCTGGTACTTTTCTCCAGACTTCAGGACCTTTGTTCCCTTCTTCCACTCAACGGGGACTCCAGGTTTAGAGATCTCACAACGCAGAGTAACAGTAGCCCCCTCCTCAGCCTCCTGGCTCTCCAGCTTCTGTTTGAAGGTCACTGGTTGGGCTGAGCATCAATTAGTTGGTTAGCAGTCAGTGGCATAACATAAAATATAACAATACAAATAAAACAAACACAGAACAAAGAACACAAAGACGGACAAGTTGCAGCCCACAATGCCATTCAGACTCAAAAACTGATATGTCTGACCATGTAAACATAAGTGTTATTTTAACCAACGAAAATATTACTCGAACTGACACTTTACAAATCCTCTTCCTACCCTTGATCTTGAGACTGGCTGTGGTCTTCAGGTCTCCACACACACAGCTGTAGTCTCCACTGTCCTCTGGCAGCACTTTGGTGATGAGAAGTTCATTCACAGAGGCCTCCTGCTTCATCTGGTACTTTTCTCCAGACTTCAGGACCTTTGTTCCCTTCTTCCACTCAACAGGGACTCCAGGTTTAGAGAGCTCACAACGCAGAGTAACACTAGCCCCCTCCTCAGCCTCCTGGCTCTCCAGCTTCTGTTTGAAGGTCACTGGTTGGGCTGAGCATCAATTAGTTGGTTAGAAGTCAGTGGCATAACATAAAATATAACAATACAAAACAAACACAGAAGACAAACAATGACACATTGCCAAGAGCAACGAGATTCAGACAGAGAAAACCTGTCTTAATATGCAAGTTAAGCTTTAGGTATATATAGAACAACATTTTACAAGTTAAAATGTTGTTCTATTTATGAAAAAAAAAGTTAATTGAACCAACTGTAACATTCCTCTTCCTACCATTGATCTTGAGACTGGCTGTGGTCTTCAGGTCTCCACACACACAGCTGTAGTCTCCACTGTCCTCTTGCAGCACTTTGGTGATGAGGAGTTCATTCACAGAGGCCTCCTGCTTCATCTGGTACTTTTCTCCAGACTTCAGGACCTTTGTTCCCTTCTTCCACTCAACAGGGACTCCAGGTTTAGAGAGCTCACAACGCAGAGTAACACTAGCCCCCTCCTCAGCCTCCTGGCTCTCCAGCTTCTGTTTGAAGGTCACTGGTTGGGCTGAGCATCAATTAGTTGGTTAGAAGTCAGTGGCATAACATAAAATACAACAATACAAAACAAACACAGAAGACAAACAATGACACATTGCCAAGAGCAACGAGATTCAGACAGAGAAAACCTGTCTTAATATGCAAGTTAAGCTTTAGGTATATATAGAACAACATTTTACAAGTTAAAATGTTGTTCTATTTATGAAAAAAAAAGTTAATTGAACCAACTGTAACATTCCTCTTCCTACCATTGATCTTGAGACTGGCTGTGGTCTTCAGGTCTCCACACACACAGCTGTAGTCTCCACTGTCCTCTGGCAGCACTTTGGTGATGAGAAGTTCATTCACAGAGGCCTCCTGCTTCATCTGGTACTTTTCTCCAGACTTCAGGACCTTTGTTCCCTTCTTCCACTCAACAGGGACTCCAGGTTTAGAGAGCTCACAACGCAGAGTAACACTAGCCCCCTCCTCAGCCTCCTGGCTCTCCAGCTTCTGTTTGAAGGTCACTGGTTGGGCTGAGCATCAATTAGTTGGATAGAAGTCAGTGGCATAACATAAAATATAACAATACAAAACAAACACAGAAGACAAACAATGACACATTGCCAAGAGCAACGAGATTCAGACAGAGAAAACCTGTCTTAATATGCAAGTTAAGCTTTAGGTATATATAGAACAACATTTTACAAGTTAAAATGTTGTTCTATTTATGAAAAAAAAAGTTAGTTGAACCAACTGTAACATTCCTCTTCCTACCATTGATCTTGAGACTGGCTGTGGTCTTCAGGTCTCCACACACACAGCTGTAGTCTCCACTGTCCTCTGGCAGCACTTTAGTGATGAGGAGTTCATTCACAGAGGCCTCCTGCTTCATCTGGTACTTTTCTCCAGACTTCAGGACCTTTGTTCCCTTCTTCCACTCAACAGGGACTCCAGGTTTAGAGAGCTCACAACGCAGAGTAACACTAGCCCCCTCCTCAGCCTCCTGGCTCTCCAGCTTCTGTTTGAAGGTCACTGGTTGGGCTGAGCATCAATTAGTTGGTTAGCAGTCAGTGGCATAACATAAAATATAACAATACAAATAAAACAAACACAGAACAAAGAACACAAAGACGGACAAGTTGCAACGCACAATGACAGTCAAAGTCAAAAACTGATATGTCTGACCATGTAAACATAAGTGTTATTTTAACCAACAAAAATATTACTCGAACTGACACTTTACAAATCCTCTTCCTACCCTTAATGTTGAGACTGGCTGTGGTCTTCAGGTCTCCACACACACAGCTGTAGTCTCCACTGTCCTCTGGCAGCACTTTGGTGATGAGGAGTTCATTCACAGAGGCCTCCTGCTTCATCTGGTACTTTTCTCCAGACTTCAGGACCGTTGTTCCCTTCTTCCACTCAACGGGGACTCCAGGTTTGGAGAGCTCACAACGCAGAGTAACACTAGCCCCCTCCTCAGCCTCCTGGCTCTCCAGCTTCTGTTTGAAGGTCGGCGGCAGCGCTGTACAACCAATTTTTTATAACTTCAGGTGAAATAGTCTAACAAATATTTAAACAAAACACGGGCAAGGCCAAAGTGGATCTGCTTTGGTAAATATTTCATTTCTCTAAAAATCCATACCAGTGACTTTCACAGTTGCAGATGTCTTCTGGTCCCCGCACAAGCAAGAGTACTCTCCACCATCTCAACTCCAAATTCTTAATCTGAAGTTCACAAGAAGTCTCCTCCATCTTCATCTCATACTTCTCTCCAGCTTTGAGAATTTCAGAGCCTTTCTTCCACTGAACGTCATTAGCATGCTTCGATAGTTTGCAGCAGAGTTTCACCGACTCCCCTTCCTTTCTCCTCTGGTTGTTGAGCTTCTCTTTAAAATTGGCAGGCAGGGCTAGAATAAAATGAACAATGACTTGCTTGTATAAAACAGGAGGGTGAATTGTGTTGGGTTGAGTGATTGATGATGGAAAATGATTAGAGGTGAAAATGATGTTGTCCCACTGGAATCATTCCACCAGTACGGATGATGCTCCTTTACCAAAAACAATCTCTTGTTGCATTTTTAAATTCACAAAAAATGACAAACACAGGAAACATTCCTCTATGCAGTTTGTAGCCCTTGCATAACAAGACAATGCATTTGGTTTCAGGTCAATTTTAAACATTTGCACATGCTGGTGGATGTCGTTCACAATTTGTGGATGTCTGTCAATCATATAAACACCAAGTCAAAGAAAACAACATAATGCACAGCATCTTTTAATCAATTCCATCACAATGCAAAATACCGATCAGTAGAACTGACAAAGCAAACAAATGTAGAAGATTTCCCTTCAAAACTATTTTCACCCTTCCTTGGTTTTTTCACTATAACCAATTGGCCTTTTAAACATCAGAGCAAGGCCATACTGTGAGTAACGTCAACATTGCATTTATCTCTTTGACCAAAAAAAACAGTCAATAAAATTCTCAAGGCAAATAACACATCATTCATACAAATAACCAGCTCTGCAAGACAACAACTTACCTGAAACGTGTGTACAGACAAACATAGGTACTTACCATTGACTGTCACCTTTGCCATGATCTTCGCCGTGCCCACGTCACACGTGTAGATATCGGTGTCTTTCTCCTCCAGCTGTTTGATGGTCAGAGTTAGGACCCCCTCCTTCTGGGACATCTCATATCGACCTCCAGCCTTGAGCTCTGTGTGACCTTTAAGCCATACCACAGTGGATGGGGTTTGTACAGTCTCACATTGCAAGGTCATGTTGCTCTTCTCCTCAGCTTGGCTGTCCTTCAGCTCTTTAGTGAATTTATGAATTTGCTCTGTAAAAAAAGAAAGTGCTTAATTAAGTATTTTGAATACAGTAACAATGTGAAGGATTAATCTGTTGTTTAAGAAAAAAAGAGTATCTCAGATCTACACTTGTATTAAGGCAAGGGTATTCTTGTTATCTTTCTTATGGTTTTCCATTGTATAATTAAAGTAAACAAATTATAGGTAAGTTTAATAATTTAGGTCCATAACTTACTTTAATTAATTGTTTGTACCTGTGTAATGTTACTTTAAGAGAGTACTGTACTGCAGTTAAGTTGTTAACTTTGATATTGAGTGGAAGCTAGAATGTTGAATCACAGTTTTCCTACGATGTCCTGCCATTAGTTGTTTTTATTATCCAGCAAAATAAACTCTGTATTTTACATGCTTGTGGCACATATACAATGAAACTTGTTCCATTGCCGCAATTACAGTTATACTATATTTTGTCATTTAAATGCATTAGCCTCTGTGTGTCTTAGTGTTGTCTCTTAAATGCTCTAACATTGTCAAAGACTACAAGTCTTACCCTTGATTTCCAGCTTGGCTTTAGTGGTTGCACCTCCAACAACTTCACAACTGTACTCTCCGGAGTCTTGAGCTGAGACGTTATGGATCGTCAGCTTCATGACCTTTTCCTCTTGGCTGATGTCATACTTCTGGCTCTTTTTGATGGCTTTGCCTTCCATGGACCAGTTTACAGTGAAACTAGCTTTTGTTACCTCACAGGTAAATACAGCATCTTCTCCTTGGACAGCACTAACACTCTGTAGTCCTTTAGACACGGATGAAGCCTTGCCTGCAAAATGGGATGTTTAATTTCCTTACTTAATACCTTTGTTCATTTGTCTAGGCCTCTTAAATATGTCGCTTACCTTCAACTTTTAATGTTGTTTTGGAGTTAAGGTCTTTAATGTTCAAGACCACCTCTCCAGCGTCAGCAGGAGTCACATCCTTGATGGTCAGCATGTACTTGCGTCCTTTACTGGTGACTTTGAAGCGACCTCCATCTGTGATAGTGTTTCCATTAAGAGTCCAGGAACACTCGTCTGTGCTCTCACGAGATAAGATGCACTCAAAGTTACATGTGTCTCCCTCATTCACCCCAGCCGACTTCAGCCATTTGGTAATTCCAATGGCAATCTCTACATTTGGGGAAAAGAGCATAAGCTAGTGAAGAAAACAAACTACACTATATGAATGAAACTGTAAAACATCTCAATAACAGTACCAACCTCTTACAGTGACCTTTGCTTTAGAAACCTCAGTTCCTAGATCACAACTGTACTCTCCAGCATCTTCTTTGGTGACGTCCTTGATGATCAGCCCCAAAGACTTGCCTGTGTGAAGGAGCTCATACTTTGATCCAGCCTTTAGGACTTTAACTTCTTTTCTCCATACAGGAGAAACCCTGGGCTTAGACGCCTCACACGCCAGAGTTATCATGCCCTTTTCCTCTCCAATGACATCATCCAGAGACTTGAGGAACACTGCACGCTTCTCTGGAGGGACAATTGAGAATATAAATAATGAGTGACATGTACAATGTTCTGACAGCATAATCAGAATTGATTCTCAAAGCAGATGCCGATACAATCTCAAGGTATGGTTTGATTTTGATTCCCCTCTTTAACCGGATATTTATACAATAGTTCATTGCCAGCGAGTTCTTACCTTTAACCTTAAGTGTCACTGACTCCTTCACCTTGCGGACCTGAAAGCTGATAGTCCCCCCGTCCTGAGGTGCCAAGTTCTTCAGTGTGAGCTTGTGGACCTTGCCATCATGAGCGATGGTATTGACTTCATTGGTGAAGAGCACCTTGTCATTCAGAAGCCACTGTACCTCTTCATCAGCATAGTTGATCTCACATGTGAACACAGCATCATTGTCTTCATCAACCTCTGTGTCTGCCAAGTGCTTGCTGATCTTCATTTCACGCACTGGACAGAGGAAAAGTAACAGTTTAAGTTGAGGACAATTACAAAACAGTTTCATTGAAAGATTAAAAAAAATGGCACAATTGCTGTCTTCTGTGTGTTATTCAAAGGTCAATACTACAATACCTTCAACAGTAAGGGTCCCTTTGGCCTCAGCAGGTCCGGACTGACAGCGGTACTCCCCACTGTCTTCCTCAGTCAACCTTTGAATAGTTAGTTGAGCCCTTGTAGCATCTTGCTTCATGTTGTACTTGTCTGAAGCGGTCAGAGGCACCTGGCCTTTGAACCAAGCTACCTCTTTGGGTGAGGCAGAGAATTTACAGGTGAGTATCGCTGAGCTTTTCTCTTTCCCCTTAACATCTTTGATGGGCTCTGCAATCTCAAGCGGACGCTCTAAATGTGAGGAACAATATGTGATTAGACTCAATTCAATTACACTGGATATGTTTACTAAAAACAGAGTACACAAGTTAGTGTGGCCTACTGCTGTATAAAAGTCATTCTACAAATTTACCTTTGACTGTGAGCTGGGCTAAAGATTTGCTCTTGCCAGCTGTAAACTGCACAGGTCCTGTCATCGATGCTTTGGTTTTTTTGAAAGTGAGACTGTGCATTGTGCCCTCTTTTTCCATTTCTACATCGGCACTCTCCTTCACAGCAACTGCATTCAGAGTCCATATGGGAGGTTTCACCAGTTCCATACTGATTTCAACTTCGAAAACAGCTGCAAAGGGTTCTGTCACTTCTACTGATGTCAGCTCCCGCACAATGCTGATGGACTGCTCTGTAGGGTCGTCAGGAAAAGAGAATGGTTCAGAAGTCCTTACATAAAGGTAATTATGATTTAATTCAAAGGACTACACACAAATGGTTTAGTCTTTTTGAGACCCAAATTCAAAAGTATACCTAGGCCTATATATTACATTACAGGCAAATGTTGCACACATGGTCAGAAATCAATTAATAGTATAATATATTGTGTGTGTACTACTACTGCTACTTGCAGGAAATAATGATACCTTGAGATAAGTTAATCATGCAATGTGCACATTTGTTTTATGTCATTCCAAAGTGTAGGAAAAGATTTCACACTTGCACCCTTTTTTTAATTTTGAAAGAAAGCACTTACTAAATTAAAAGTTAAATTATTTCCTAGGCCATGCATGTTTTAGAGGCGGCAATACTTAAATCCACGTCACCTCCTGTATTTATACATAAATAAAATACTTATTCATAGCCAGACAGAAGGACAGACAGACAGACAGACAGACAGACAGACAGACCTATAGATGTACACCTCATTGATTAGGACTCTGATGGCTTATATACATACTTTGAGTATGTGCATGTGTATACCCAGTATACACAAATATAGAATCTTATATATATAAATGCCCTACACTCGATGAACCTGACAGCTGTCAATCAACCTTGTTACCTTCCACAAGTAGTTTACAGGATGTATTTTCATCAGTGGCGTCACAGGTGTAGGTGTCTTCGTCCCCGGATGCCACATCGTTGATGGTGAGTTTTCGGTACACATCTTCACATTTGATCTCGTACTTCTTGCCGTGTTTGATCTCCGTCTTGTTCTTGAACCACTTCACCTTTGCGCTGGCACGTGACACTTGGCATTCAAGATGTCCACGATGCTTATACATCGCTATCTTATCCCTGAGTTTCTTCACAAACTTGACAGGCAGCTCTATAGTAACAATAACACTGAATCAATTCAAACTATCATTATCATGAATGCTACAAGGGAAGATGAAAGGCTATTGATTCCAAAGCTTTGCCAAAGCCCTTGCTTAGGTGCACGTAAGGACAGCCACTCTTCATAATTAAATTGTGTTATAGCCAAAGCAAACGGGGCTAAGTAATGGAGCATAAATGCTTTTGATGCCCCATTAGTCTTTTTGCAAAAGCTAAAGCAGATAGCAATAATATTGTAATGGCACTACTGCAAGTGGGAATTAATGTGTGACAGCCATTCTTGTTTATATATCAGTTGCTAACAGAGAGACACTGACATATAAAATAAGAAACATGTGCGTGTTGAGCACCTGAGAGCAAATAATGGTCTTAATATTATCTTTCTTAGATTTTGCCTCACATTTCCAAAACCTAAAATCAACCAAGACAGAAAGCCATGACTAAACCTAATGAAAATAATCCTATCCTAGATTTGTGTTTCCTTTTACCATCAGGCCTCAATGAGGCATAACAATGCAAATGCAAATTGAAACTGGATTTTCTATCTCATCAATATTATCAGATTGATGCATTCCGTTAACGCTTATCATAAGACAACATTTCAACTGTCTTTAGTGCGACAATTTTCATTGGCACACTAAACCAGTTGAAATGTTGAGGTGAATTTAGCAAAAAATGTATGCAGACTTTTGATTATCCTAATCATTGTTAATTACATTTGTTTGCAACAATTTGTGTCATAAATAGAAAAATCCATTTGCAACCTCATCTGAACATTGCAACATAAGGGTTAGCAAATTCATGCAGCAACATATTTGTTTTCAGCACATGACACGGACTGGTTTACCTTTCACTTTCAGTTTTGCTGCTGAAGAGGCCTTGTCAGCTGTGAATTTAATCTCACCCATATCTTCAATGGTGACAGACTTAAACAGAAGTACATAGGTTTTGCCTGGAATAAGAAATAAGACAACGTGTAGATAATCATTATTCAGGTAAATAATATGCATGAAAATACAGCTGTATACATAGCTGTACACGTTTTTTGAGACTTTACCCTCTTGTCTCATCTTGATGTTGTCACCGACTTTGAGTTTGGTACTTCCTTTGTACCATTGGCATTCGACTTCATCATGTGATACTTCACAGACAAACGCAGCGCTCTCCTTCTCCATCACTTCCACATCCTCCAGCTTCTTAACAATCTTAACTTCTCGGGCTGCAGGGAAAACATTATTAAGAGAGGTTTCTATACCCAATAAGGCAACATGACTTATTTGTGTGCTTCAATACATGACTGATAATTACCATTAACAGTGAGTTTAGCTGAGGTGTTATCATCAGTAGTGCGACAGATGTAAGTGCCTGCATCTTCAGGGGTGCATTTGTTGATGACCAAACTGCGCTTTCGGCCCAAGGAATGGATGCCAAAGTTCTTCCCTAGTTTCAGTTCAACATCATCCTGCAGATTAATGATTTTTTTAAATGTTACATTCTGTATGTACATGACACTTTTCAAATCTCATTATTTCCCAAAGCAGATAGTAAATTAAATAATAACTTCTCACCTTGAACCATTTAACATCTGCATTGGTTTTGGACACTTCACATTCAAAAGTAACCTTTTCCTTATCAGCGACACTGATATCTACCATGGGCTTGGCGATCATAGCAGGAAGTTCTGTAAAATCAATTTGTTTTATTAAAAACGTTGTGACACAATGACCCTTGTGGCAGTATGGGTGACATACAAAAATAACTTACCTGTGACAACCAGTTTGCCAGAGTTATGAACTCCTTCTGCTTGGAAGGCAATCACTCCTGCGTCCTCCCTCTTGAGATTGGACAACGTTAAGGAATGCTTCTTTCCAAAAGCTGTGATACGGCAGTTGGCCCCTGACTTTAACTTGGCCCCATCCCTGGTCCAGAAGCCCTCAACATCAGCCTGGCTGAGCTCTACCTCCAGAGTTACCGTCTCTGTCTCATGTGACTTGGTTTCTGTTAGGCCCTTAATTACCTGAATCTTTTTCACTGAAGGGAGGATGAGAAAAGGTTTGAGACTTAACATGCTCAAGGTTTCTTAGCTTTTAAATAAAGAATGATATCACTAAACACTGGAGAATGACATTGTCTTTCTATATGCATTTAAAAACTGTATGTTGTGTATCAGTCTTACTCTCCACACTGAGCTTGGCCTGGGTTTTGTCATCCAGGGTTTCACAGGAGTAGATGCCCCGGTCAGCATAAGCCACGCTCTTGAAGATCAGTGCCTGCTTGGCTCCGTTGACCCGAATCTCCATGTTTCCTGAAGGCTGCAGCACAACGCTGTTCTTCATCCACCTCACTTCATCCGACACCTTACTCAGCTCCAACTCCAGCTTCACTTCACTCTGCTCCTCCACTGTCAGGTTTTCTAGCATTTTCTTAAATTTCACAGGTTCATCTAAATGGGGCACACAGAATTGTCAAAGTTGATGAGGAAAAAATATTACTTAACATACTAAATAATTATATTGAGTGTTCTTACGCTCCACTTGTAGGTTGGCTTTGCAGCTTTTGCCCTCTGCATCCACGCTGATCTCTCCGCCATCTTTTTGTGTGACAGAGGTGATGGTGAGTGAGTGACTGCTGCCACCACGCCCAATCTTATATTTGGGCCCAGCAGTTACGGGTATGCTGTTGTGGAACCATTTAACGTTGACGTCTGCTGGGTTGACAGCACACTTGAAAATTGCATCTTTTCCCTCCATGGCAGCCACATTGTTCAGTTTAGTAGTCAGCCTCACCAGTCTGGGTGCTGAAAGGAAAACATGACATCACATGAAATAAACTGATACAGAATAAACTACCTGAAAGTGTTGAAGGTAAACAATGAATTACCTTTTGAGGTAACTTTGGCGGAGGTCTTGTCATTTCTACATTCACAGCTGTATTCTCCTTCATCTTCTTTAGTCATGCCAGTCACGTTGAGGACCCGCTTAGCACCATCTGTCCTGATACAGTACCTGCCTCCAGGTTTAATCTCACGACCATCATGCTGCCAGACAACATCCCCTGAGGCTTGATTTAGCTCACACATCAGGCTGAGTGTGCCTTCCAAATCCACTGTAGCAGGTTTCAAAGGGACAACAAACTTCAAAGCCGAATCTGAAATGAAAACATGGAAGTTGGACATCAAAACAAAATCTGCCACCTGGAGATGTTATAGTTGTTCACATTTCCATGACTTGCCTTTAACTTGAACTTTGAACTCCAGTTGGTCATCAGCAGTTTGACAGGAGTATGTTCCACTGTCTTTGGATTCAGACGATTTCACTATCAGGGTACGAGAAAGGCCTTCTTTTTTCATTTCATACTTGCTGCCCTCCTTGAGCTCCACGCCATCTCTGCACCACTTCACACTACCACTCTCTGTCGTCAGCTCGGTGGTCAAAACAACTTTTTCACTTGCTTGAACAATACATGTGTCCTTGACAAGCTTTTTCTGGAACTTGACAGCTGCATCTAGAGAGATGTAAGAGCTTGTTTTCATTTGTTTGTTCTGAGAATCATGTATCAAAAATAAAACCAGTATTTGAAATGTATTTTACCTGTAACCTGCATCTTAAATACAAGCTTTTCTGTTCCAGCCTCACATGTGTACTCTCCCGCATCTTTTTTCTCTATCTTCTCTATCACCAGCTCACGAATCTTGCCCTTTGACTCCATGTGGACGGCTTTGCTGGTAGTCAGCAGCTTGCCATCCTTGTGCCATTTCACCTCCGTCTTGGTATCGTCTACCTCACAGCTCAGAGTGGCTTTCTGGGAGATAGTGGCTTTCACCTCTTGCTTAACAGACTGTTTGTTAGAGAAACCAGCCGGGGCTTCTGCAGAGCAAAGTAAAAACAATTTTAACAGTAAGTTAACCCAAGATACACACAGCAAAACATTTCAGATGCAATGAAAATACATCATGATTAAATGCAGATAGACCAACAAGACCATTCAATTATTCCTCCTACCGGCAACCTGTATCTTAAAAGCAATCTTCTCAGTCCCAGCCTCACAGATGTACTCTCCAGCATCCTTCTTTTCCACACTGTCTATCACCAGCTGGCGACTTTTACCCTTTGTCTCTGTGTGTATTGTTTTGCTGGAAGTCAGCAGCTTGCCCTCCTTGTACCATTTCACCTCTGTCTTGGTATCAGAAACATCGCAGCTCAGAGTGGATTTCTGAGATAGAGTGGTTTTTACCTCCTTCTGGACAGACTCCTTGTTGGAGAAAGCTGACTGAGCTTCTGATGGAGGAGATATGAGAGGGGATATATCAGATCCAAAAAGCATTGAATTAGAAATATTCATATTTTAAAAAAATCCCACGCTCCTACCTGCAACCTGTATCTTAAAAGCAATCTTCTCAGTCCCAGCCTCACAGATGTACTCTCCAGCATCCTTCTTCTCCACGCTGTCGATCACCAGCTGGCGACTCTTGGCTTTTGTCTCTGTATGGATTGTCTTGCTGGAAGTCAGCAGCTTGCCCTCCTTGTACCACTTCACCTCTGTCTTGGTATCAGCCACCTCACAGCTCAGAGTGGCTCTCTGGGAGAGAGTGGCTTTCACTTCGCTCTGGACGGACTCCTTGTTGGAAAATGCTAACTTCTGTTGGATTTCTGCAAAAGTGATAATGGAAAACGTCATGGCATTGTACATTTTCACGCTGAGGGAGTAATAAAGGATTTCTGATTGCCCACCATCATACAAATGCAATCTTATAAAATATAGCAAAACTTGATATAAGTTTGAACTTAATTTAAACAAATCACATGAAATAGTCCCTTTAATTCCTCATACCTGTCAATTGCACTCTAAATGCCAGTTTTTCAGATCCGACTTCACAGATGTACTCTCCTGCATCTTTTTTCTCCATCTTCTCTATCACCAGCTCACGAATCTTGCCCTTTGACTCCATGTGGACGGCTTTGCTGGAAGTCAGCAGCTTGCCATCCTTGTACCACTTCACCTCTGTCTTGGTATCGTCTACCTCACAGCTCAGAGTGGCTTTCTGGGAGAGAGTGGCTTTCACTTCCCTCTGGACAGACTCTTTGTTGACGGAGGAGGATTTAACGTGGACTTCTGTAGAAGAACCTGAAAAGGAGTGTGGTGTCAGTACATTTACAAATACAAAAAAGGAGTTATCGCATCCTTTTGGATTAACTGAAGAATGATAACATAACCATACATATACAGTGTACTGAGCAATGAGCTTTATTAAAGCATGTCAGGTTGAGTGAGACTCAACATTGCATTTGCAGTCTTAAAGAAAAAGCGAATTGGTCCTCTACAAAGTTGCTGAAAAGAGGAGCGGACAGATATTGTTAACCAGACCAGCTCTGCGAGCAGGAAGTGACAATCAACGGAGCCATAAGACAACAGAGCTCCCTCAGTAAGCAAATGCGACGAGAAATCAAAGCCTGAGGTTAAATATGAATTAAAATATACACATATATCTTTCAAGGGCCATCTAATAACAGACTCGGGGGCCATTTTGCAATATAGATGTTAGAGCACAGCATGCCAAACATCTCAAAATGAAAGAACCAATAATGCAGACTAAATAAGTTCCAACAATCACAAAACTGAATTCACTCTCCTTACCTTCCACATGCATTTTAAAGACCAGCTTCTCAGACCCAGCTTGACACATGTACTCTCCAGCATCCTTCTTCTCCACGTTGTCGATCACCAGCTGGCGACTCTTGCCTTTTGACTCTGCATGGATCGCCTGAGTGGTGCTTATGAGTTTGCCATCCTTGTACCACTTCACCTCGGACTTGGAATCAGATATCTCCCAGCTCAAGGTGGCCGCCTGGGAGAGACTAGCTTTCACCTCCTTCTGGACTGACTCTTTATCAGAAAGGGCAGACTGGATCTGTGTGTCTGTGGAGGAGAACATGGATCATTACATGTTTTAGTTATCCATGATAAGAACATTCATAAACACTTTTTTTTTTTTTGACAATTCAGTCCTGGGCCCTACCTGCCACATTGAGTTTGAAGACCAGCTTCTCAGTCCCAGCCTCACAGATGTACTCTCCAGCATCCTTCTTCTCTACGCTGTCGATCACCAGCTGGCGACTCTTACCCTTTGTCTCTGTATGGATTGTTTTGCTGGAAGTCAGCAGCTTGCCCTCCTTGTACCACTTCACCTCTGTCTTGGTATCAGCCACCTCACAGCTCAGAGTGGCTTTCTGAGATAGAGTCGCCTTGACCTCCTTCTGGACAGACTCCTTGTTGGAGAAAGCTGACTGAGCTTCTGATGGAGGAGATATGAGAGGGGGAATATCAGATCCAAAAAGCATTGAATTAGAAATATTCATATTTAGAAAATACCCCGCTCTTACCTGCCACATGCATTTTAAATGCAATCTTCTCAGTCCCAGCCTCACAGATGTACTCTCCAGCATCCTTCTTCTCCACGCTGTCGATCACCAGCTGGCGACTCTTGGCTTTTGTCTCTGTATGGATTGTCTTGCTGGAAGTCAGCAGCTTGCCCTCCTTGTACCACTTCACCTCTGTCTTGGTATCAGCCACCTCACAGCTCAGAGTGGCTTTCTGAGATAGAGTGGCCTTGACCTCCTTCTGGACAGACTCCTTGTTGGAGAAAGCTGACTGAGCTTCTGATGGAGGAGATATGAGAGGGGGAATATCAGATTCAAAAAGCATTGAATTAGAAATATTCATATTTAGAAAATACCCCGCTCTTACCTGCCACATGCATCTTAAATGCAATCTTCTCAGTCCCAGCCTCACAGATGTACTCTCCAGCATCCTTCTTCTCCACGCTGTCGATCACCAGCTGGCGACTCTTGGCTTTTGTCTCTGTATGGATTGTCTTGCTGGAAGTCAGCAACTTGCCCTCCTTGTACCACTTCACCTCTGTCTTGGTATCAGCCACCTCACAGCTCAGAGTGGCTTTCTGAGATAGAGTGGCCTTGACCTCCTTCTGGACAGACTCCTTGTTGGAGAAAGCTGACTGAGCTTCTGATGGAGGAGATATGAGAGGGGGAATATCAGATTAAAAAAGCATTGAATTAGAAATATTCATATTTAGAAAATACCCCGCTCTTACCTGCCACATGCATCTTAAATGCAATCTTCTCAGTCCCAGCCTCACAGATGTACTCTCCAGCATCCTTCTTCTCCACGCTGTCGATCACCAGCTGGCGACTCTTGGCTTTTGTCTCTGTATGGATTGTCTTGCTGGAAGTCAGCAACTTGCCCTCCTTGTACCACTTCACCTCTGTCTTGGTATCAGCCACCTCACAGCTCAGAGTGGCTCTCTGGGAGAGAGTGGCTTTCACTTCGCTCTGGACGGACTCCTTGTTGGAGAAGGCTGATTGGAACTCTGAGGGGAACATCAATAAGAAAAACAGCATTGTTATAAGGAGGTTTAAGATCAAATGATTGAAACATATAGCACACATGCATTCAAAGCTTCTATCGAAGGTTTTCAAATGGAGCTTTGAATGTCTGTTGTAGTTTTTCTGATGTAACCAAGCAAATACAAAAACAAAAACAATGAAATGTGACTAAATGTGTCTTTTCTTTTTTCAAATCAAAGTAAATCAAATCAACAATTGTTAATGGATATCAACTTGTTGTGTCATTAGAATAAATACAGCAGCAGGCTAATCAAATATGCTAATACATTGCTACAAGCACACATTTTGAATATCGATTTAAAACTTGAATGTCAACATGAAGCTTCGAAGCCTCGTTATGCTTAACTCAAATGATATTCATTCAGTAGCTCACAGACACAGTTTATATTATTTGTATAATACTGGAAATATTTGTGAAGATGTATTTGTCAATACATTCTAGCAGTCCTACCTGAGACAGATATCTTGAAGACCAGCTTATCCCCTGCCGCTTCACACGTGTACTCTCCAGCATCGCTCTTCTCCACCTTTTCAATCACCAGCTGACGACTACTGCCTTTTACTTCTGAGTATATCGTCCTGCTGGATATCAGCTGCTTGCCGTCTTTATACCACTTCACTTCTGCCTTACTATCAGAGACATCACAACTAAGAGTAGCTTTCTGGGTGAGAGTAGCTTTCACTTCCTTTTGGACTGATTCCTTGTTGGAGAAGGCAGCTACTGCCTGAGTTTCTGAAAAGAAGAAGGACATTGATATCATATTCATCTTTAATGTGCAGGGTTGAATCGTACTACAAAAATAATCAAACAGTCTTACCTTTTATCTTGACCTGGAATGTGACTTTGTCTGCTGCTGTCTCACAGGAGTAATGTCCTTCGTCACTTTTCTTGGCGTTTTTGATGATGAGTTTCCTTTGAGTCCCTTTGGCGACGGTGGTCGTTCTTTGGTCCTCTGTGATCTGCACTTGATCTTTCTTCCACACCACGTCCGTGCTGGCTGGAGAAACCTCACAGGTCAGCTCCAGGTCTCCTTTAAGGGTTGATGACATTCCCATGGTTCCTCTGGCTTTGTTCAGGAACTTGGCAGGTTCATCTTAGAGAAATAGAGGTGGATATACAGTGATTACTTTTTTGTTATTTGTCAAATGATTTATTTGTATTTCATACAGACAAAATATTCAATATTTGTGACAATAATACAAATCTAGAAATGCACCAACATTCTCTTGACCTATTATGGCCTCCCCTTATTTATAAGTGGGACCTGCAGATTCCAAATGTTATTCTAAGAACTATCTTTAACTGCATACACAAACATTATTCATTATTTTGCTTTTAAAGGAAATTGTAAATTGTATGTTCATGCATATCAGAGAAGAATCAGATAGACTATAGTGTGTTTGAAGGCCAACATATTATATAGAGAGTCATCTATTCATTATGTATCCAACACTATGTATGTATGTCTATATAAAACTATTTATGAATGAGTATCTATTTACAAGAATGTAGAGGTATGTGTCCTCCAGCCTGAGAGGACATGGAGAGATGCTGTACTGTTGGCAGAAGAGCTGGTCACTGCAGATACTCTTGAGAAGCATACATGGGAATTAATTACTAAATAATAAATGAAATGTCTGATTAAGTCAGCTGTTCCAAATGTCTTTGTCCTACCATGGCTTTTTTTGGACTTGCAGATGCTACAAAATGCAAGCTTTAGGTCTTGTGTACTAATGATAAAGCACTTCCAAACTGGGGACGTGTGTGTGTGTGTGTGTGTGTGTGTGTGTGTGTGTGTGTGTGTGTGTGTGTGTGTGTGTGTGTGTGTGTGTGTGTGTGTGTGTGTGTGTGTGTGTTTTTACCACTGTGAGTCGACATAAACCATAACCCTACACGTGTAAAACTGACTGTCAAAACATATAAGGAGATTTATTGTGCATCTCTTTTAAAATCCCTTGGGAAATGTATATCCTTAAGTTTGTTATCAGAGCAGCTCATGTGTGGAAAGAACTTGGGGTAGCAGAGTAACACGGGAGCCGACTACATGTTGATATACAACTCTTTCCTCTATTTGATGGCTCAAAAGCATATGCTGCAGCCATCAGAGTGGGTCACATTTCAGTATATCACATGACCTGAGACAAACTGTCTGCATGTGGGCTTGAGTCGGGACTCATTTCACACACTGAGCCAGGTTACATTCACGCAATCATGTTTTCACCGAGAAGAATATTGGTGATACTTGGTTCAGACGCCAACACTGAAACCTTGGCAGTCAGATTGTTTACTTTGCTCTGTGATAAAGTTAAAGTGCTTAACTTTACTTCTTTAATGTGCGTACCTTTAAGAGAGAGCTGCAGGGATATTTTGTCATCAGCTAAAGCACACTCATAGATGCCCACATCTTCCTCTGTCACGTTGTGAACCATAAGGATCCTCTTGCGGTCGACAATCATGTATTCATACTTCTTCCCCGTTTTCACCTCCCGCCCATTCCTCATCCAGACCACCTGAAGACACACACACAGAACAGATGGCCAAAATAGACATGATGAAGTTAAAGCAAAAGAGTTAAAAAAGTATACTGATGAGTACTCAAATACAGGTACATTTACAAATACATATAGTAGGGCAAAAAAGTATTTAGTCAGCCACCAATTGTGCAAGTTCTCCCACTTAAAAAGATGAGAGAGGCCTGTAATTGTCATCCTAGGTACACTTCAACTATGAGAGACAGAATGGGGGGAAATAATCCAGGAAATCACATTGTAGGATTTTTAATGAATTAATTGGTAAATTCCTCTGGAAAATAAGTATTTGGTCACCTACAAACAAACAAGATTTCTGGCTCTTACAGACCTGTAACTTCTTCTTTAAGAGCCTCCTCTGTCCTCCACTTGTTAACTGTATTAATGGCACCTGTTTGAACTTGTTATCAGTATAAAAGACACCTGTCCACAACCTCAAACAGTCACACTCCAAACTCCACTATGGCCAAGACCAAAGAGCTGTCAAAGGACACCAGAAACAAAATTGTAGACCTGCACCAGGATGGGAAGACTGAATCTGCAATAGGTAAGCAGCTTGGTGTGAAGAAATCAACTGTGGGAGCAATTATTAGAAAATGGAAGACATACGAGACCACTGATAATCTCCCTCGATCTGGGGCTCCACGCAAGATCTCACCCCGTGGGGTCAAAATGATCACAAGAACGGTGAGCAAAAATCCCAGAACCACACGGGGGGACCTAGTCAATGACCTGCAGAGAGCTGGGACCAAAGTAACAAAGGCTACCATCAGTAACACACTACGCCGCCAGGGACTCAAATCCTGCAGTGCCAACGTGTCCCGCTGCTTAAGCCAGTACATGTCCAGGCCCATCTGAAGTTTGCTAGAGAGCATTTAGATGATCCAGAAGAGGATTGGGAGAATGTCATATGGTCAGATGAAACCAAAATAGAACTTTTTGGTAAAAACTCAACTAGACGTGTTTGGAGGAGAAAGAATGCTGAGTTGCATCCAAAGAACACCATACTGTGAAACATGGGGGTGGAAACATCATGCTTTGGGGCTGTTTTTCTGCAAAGGGACCAGGACGACTGATCCGTGTAAAGGAAAGAAGGAATGGGGCCATGTATCGTGAGATTTTGAGTGACAACCTCCTTCCATCAGTAAGGGCATTGAAGATGAAACGTGGCTGGGTCTTTCAGCATGACAATGATCCCAAACACACCGCCCGGGCAACGAAGGAGTGGCTTCGTGAGAAGCATTTCAAGGTCCTGGAGTGGCCTAGCCAGTTTCCAGATCTCAATCCCATAGAAAATCTATGGAGGGAGTTGAAAGTCTATGTTGCCCAGCGACAGCCCCAAAACATCACTGCTCTAGAGGAGATCTGCATGGAGGAATGGGCCAAAATACCAGCAACAGTGTGTGAAAACCTTATGAAGACTAACAGAAAACGTTTTACCTCTGTCATTGCCAACAAAGGGTATATAACAAAGTATTGAGATTAACTTTTGTTATTGACCAAATACTTATTTTCCACCATAATTTGCAAATACATTTTTTTTCTCGCATTTTGTCTTTCATAGTTGAGGTATACCTAGGATGAAAATTACAGGCCTCTCTCATCTTTTTAAGTGGGAGAACTTGCACAATTTGTGGCTGACTAAATACTTTTTTGCCCCACTGTATATGTGTATGAAGGATAACAGTTACATAAAACAGAAAACGTAACATACTGTACTGACTATGTAATGTCAATTAGAAGCTCGGGGAAAAGAGCTAACCAAAATTAAAAGAACGTTTTAGCATTTTCAGACAGTTTAGTACAATGCTTCTTCAGTCAAACCGATTTGACTAACTTAAAATAGCACAGAGAAATCTACTAAATGTGGTAAATTATAGTGCATCAAAATAAAAGCTAGAAGTCAAGCTGGGAATGATTTATGTTCCCATCACAAACCTGTGCATCATAATCTGACACCTCAGCGGTCAGCTGAGCGGTGGCTTGGGCACTGCAGACCGCCTCCTGTAGGTTTGACTTGTTGGTGAACCTCACAGCAGGAGCTAAACATACAGTGTATATGTAAGAAGGCATTATTGAATTGCCAATGGCATTCAATTCAACAAAGTTAAGAACAGTTGAATGAAGAAAAATGACTATACTATATTTATTTATATGATTTAGAGCTATTTTCTGACTACATACCCTTCACAGACAGGATGCAACTGCTTTGTGAGCCTCCACCCACAAACTTGACCTCAGTCCCGTTCATTTCCATGGTCACGTTACGGATGAGCAGAGTGTGTGTGTTCTTGATCCTGGTGATGAGGTAGTCGCCTCCACTGCGCAGGAGGCGGCCATTCAGAGACCAGAAGGCAGAACAAACAGCTGACAGCTCCACGGAGATGGAGAACTCCTCACTGAAGAAGGCAGTGCTGTTCATCAGGCCTTTCCTGATTTCAGCACTGGGTTCTGGAGACAACAGAAGAACCAGACATGAGAACAAAACAACTCATTGTTTACAAAAACAGCACAATTAATAAAAACTCAGTCTTACCTAGGTAGAAGCTTCCAGGCACCTCCAGGTAATCACTCTGGCCAAAGTCATTCATGGCAGAGATACGGAACTGGTAGGTGGCTTCTTCTTTGAAGCTGCAGACGGTGATCTCGGTAGAAAGGATGGTTTCTCCAGAGTTACACCGCTGCCATGTCTGAGTGCCAACCTTCCTCCTCTCCACAAAGTAGCACTTGATGGGCACGGGGCGGTCGCTGTCCGGAGGAGACCACTGGATGGTGATGGATGAGTCAGTCTTGTTCGCAACCACTGCATCGACTGGGGGATCGGGAGGATGCTTCCTAGCAGCTGGAGCAGAAAGATAAATTATCAAGCTGTTTATGTGATATGATGAGTTTTGTAGCTTGAAGCTAATCAAAAGAAAGATTATAGCAAAACTCAATTTCCTTTCTTTTTGACCCTCTTGTTGAACTTTTATATTCAGCAATTATTCATGTCAGTCTTTTGTAGTGGGCATCAAAGACATGACATGCTCTAAAGTCAATTTTAACTAAATGTAAAGGGGGCAAATCCAAGATCAGAATAAATACAATAAATAAAATAAAATATGGTCTTGCTCACCAGTGACAGAGAATCGTGTGGACGTTTTGCAGTCTCCCGCCACGAAGGCCACTTCTCCTGAGTCATCAGCCTGGCAATCTCTAATAGTGAGTGTGTACTGTCTGAGCATGCAGGCGATTGCGGTACGGGAATCTCCCTTCAGCTTCACGCCATTGCGGGTCCAGTAGACATCCGGGAAAGGACGCTCCAGCTCCACACAGAAGATGACAGTGTCGCTGACAGGGACCACTGTCCTCCGGGGAAGCTTCTTAGTAATGTTGCCTGGGATATGAGAGTAAGTGGACATGACGGTAAGACACACATTCAGTAGAAGTCTAGACAAATTGACTAGCTGTTCTTAGTTTCCCAACTCAACAGCATTTTACGGACATATAATTTACTCTTGTCAATTGTATTGCCTGCACAAAACAGCTAACAAGAAATAAAGACATTAAAATGTCTCCACCATACCCAGGACAGTGAGCTCAGCCACAGTGCGGCTGCCTTCCTTCATCTCGCAGATGTAAACACCATCGTCGTTGGTGGTGACGTTGTGAATGGTGAGGCGAAGCAGGGTGCCTTCCTGCTCCATGTAATATTTGGTGCTTTGATCCAGCTTCGTCTCCTCCATGAACCAGCTGGCCTGGGTGGCACTAACAGGCACCTCACACAGCAGGGTGGCTGACGTCTTCTCCTGCACCTCCACATCCTGCAGCTTCCTCCTGAATGGCACCTTAGGCTCTGGCACAATGAAAAACAAGGAGGGAATCTTTAGCTTATAAAGCCACAATTATGGTTTTGCATGTTAGTATGTCAAATACAAGAAATAGGATATGCTTCAAAACCAACCATATGGCAAATGTTATACATACATTTCCCTGTAAACAACATTACAACATAGTCAAAATCTCTTACAGAGGATAATGTAGACACAAATGTATGACAATATAGCAAGTAGGGCTTGAAGCTTTTAAATAAAGATTTTAGTGTATGTAGTCGTTTCATATTTATTACTCTTTCACCCTAAAAAAAAAACAGACCTCGAACAAAATCTAAATTTGAATGGTGATTTTCCGAATATGAAGGTATGAATTAAGCTTCGAGGCTTCAAACTAGTCGGTACAACCCTAAAGCAATTACATAAAAGCTGATCGATAGTCAGTTGTTAAACCTTGGTTGTTGAAGTCAAGGTTTGACGAATAAACAATGGGTTGTCCTTGAAAATGCTCTCAAGTAAAGTATGTCAATTTCAGATGTTATTTTGAGGGTTAATGTGCTTTCTCCACCCGCTATTTGAATGGAAGCTATAGGGTACATGTTGTACGTTTCCCATGCTGCTCGGTTTTCTTACTCTGCTCTACAAATGCGGGTTAGAGTTCAAACTGTATCCATATCCATACTTTGGGTTTACGCCAACAGTTTAAAGTTAGCAATCAAGTGTTGAACACATAGAACTCCACTTTGAGTTATGGGTGAAGTCCACTGGGTTCATCAAATCATGCAAAGCACTCACATAAAATAAATGCAACATTTACGTTAATAATTTCAATATTTCCTGTTCCGTTGCTGCTGAATGACAGATGAGCTATGACTATTTTTACTAAAAAAACATTAGGTTGAGGAAATCAGAGTTTTGTGAGTAATAGTTTGGCTCTTTGACCCCTTAGCTTTTCATTTTTTACAGGCTTGTCAACGCACTATATATTTAACATTGACAACCCTTAACAGTTGTGTATTTATGTCTTAGTGTCCAAAATAAATACTTTTATTGAAGTTATCTTTCCAAAACTGACATGGACATCTTATTTTTTAAGTGTTATATAATAATTGTGGTAATTAAATCAAAGGTTACAGAAAATGAAATGTTTTCCCCTTTTCTTTTTTCTTAAAGGAGTGTTTTTTGTAATGGTCATGCAACATGGAAGAGCTTAAAACGTATAACCCCTACTGCAAAATGTCCCCCTTTAAATCCTATAAGCTAACAACCTGCAAACATCAGAAGTGCCCTGCCCCAGCAATAAACAGGTAAATAAGTGCAGCAGCCCTCATTAACGATCATGCCGACATAAATATATAATCCTACAGTTTCATCCATTGGGCCAATTTGTTCCCAAGGGGAGACTCAGTAGCATTGGTGCCAAAGTTCTCCAGTGAGTGAGTGAACATCTTAGCATCTGTGAACAACTCATCACCAGCAGAAAATAGATGCAACACAACACCCTCCCAAAGAGGCTGGGCCAGATTTCAACCTTGTTGTAAAAAGCTACAAATTTTCAGGGGTAAATTATACTTTGGTGAAATGATTCGGACACTTAGAGTAGTGCAGATACCAACATTGATTTTTCCTTTCAACATATAGCTTATCCCTTAGTGACATGTACTTCCATTTGAATTGCTAATACAAACACACAAATGAGCCACTTGCTGCAGTGGCAGACAAACAGGCAGTCTAGTTTATTTTGAGTAAATCCCACATACACCATCCTGCTGTGATGAATACTACCACCAAAAGTGTATTAATGTTAAGCTTAAAATAGTCCCCTACAAATGTATTTGCACTCCTGTTTAAGTAATGTACAGTACCAAGCTGTTTTAAGAAATGACTTGCTGTATTGTAGGGCTTCAGCTTTTTTCAGCATTTCATCTGGATTCATCTGAAAATATTGCCCTAATATGTCAATACATTTTTGGTTATATAACGACATGTCTATTTTAGTTTCTCAAAATCCAAGGTGATGTCTTTAAATGTGTTGTTTTGTCAGTTCAAAACAGATAAAAGCAGGAAATCTTCATTTTTAAGAGGCTGAAAACATAATTTTCTGCAATTTGTGCATTCATTTATGATCAACAAATTATCCTTTTTGTCAATTGACTACTCAATGATGGTGACTTTGAGTGCAGCTGTACTATATATAGCATACATTTATTATCATTTTTTTTTTTTAGATGAATGAGTCCTGCAGTTATGGTATAGATGTTGGAAATTATTAGGAGACAGGCTAATATAATGTTTGCTTTCATGGGACTTGTTAATATCAATAAAACAATGAAATCATGCCAGGCATTTACTGTAACCCTGGTGTGGAGTATGGTGCATTTAGCTGACAGATATGCATGTAATTCATGAACATAACTTCTCTAATATGTGTAAAACATGTATGGCTGTATTGTATTACGCAAACACGTCCCTCTTACCTTTGACAGTCACCAACACAGCACTGTAGGTCTGGCCAGCCATATTGGTGGCATTGCAGGTGTAGAGACCATTATCGGTCTGTTTGCAGTACAGGATCTTGAGGATGAAGTTCTCAGCTTGGTCCTCATAAATGACATGCCTGCGGCCCTCGCTGATGTTTGATCCATCCTTCCTCCAGATGGTGTGGGGTTTAGGATGACCCGTCACAAAGCAGCTGAGTTTGGCATGCTTGCCTTCAGTCACCGTGCAGGTACGGGTGAACACACCTTTGGGCAGCTTTGCCAGCGCAGATGCCCTCAGCTCATGTTCCTGACTCAGAGAACTCAAACTATCTGTGATGCTGGTCTTGGTGGAGGAGGAACCAGAGGATCTGCTTTCTTCAGTGCGATAGATAGAGATGTCCTTCTTCATTTCCTCCTTGCGCTTTTGTAGGTGAGAGAGGAGAGAGGAGGTGTTCTTGTCTGCGGACAGATGGAGGGAATCCTGGGCATCTACAACGAGAGCTGCTGCAGAGTGTGAACGACCAACGGTGTTCTGGGCCCTGCAGGTGTAGGTGCCGCTGTCCAGGTTACGCACACTTTGGATCTTCAGGGTGCTGCTGTCGGTGTCGGAAACAATCTTGATACGATTTGACTCGCCCAAGTAGCGCCCATCTTTCTCCCAATCAAAGTTGGGATCAGGGTGGGCTGCAACCCGACAGTGGAAAACCACATCGCCTCCCAAACATACACGTGTAGAGGTAGGCTTAACCATGAAAACAGGGGCCCTCTGAGCCATCTCTGTTTGCAGGGCCACTTTGAGGGTAACAGCAGCATAAGCCTCCCCAACTGTGTTTTTGGCCCGGCACATGAATTGGCCATTGTCCTCCAGTGTTAAGTCATAGATGGTCAGGCGGTACAGATTTCCATCCTCCACGGTTTTGAAGCGTCCCCCAGATGTCAGCTTCAGCTTGTCCTTCTCCCAGCTTATCAGCGGGGTCGGGCTGCCCACGATAGTGCAGCTAAGTGTGGCGTCTTTGCCTACACACACTGAGCATGCCTTTGGGCGGGTGAGAAACCTGGGGACTCCTCCAAATAAGTTCTGATCCATTGTTGGTTCCTGTAATCAAATAAAAGCTGAACATTACAATACAGTTCCAGGTAGTGGCTTACGAGAAATAAAATGAAACGTTGAACAAAAGACAATATAAAATAAGATAGGATAGGATATCACTAAATATACTGAGGGAAATTCCTGCAGGAGTTCAAATATAAAGAGGGGAAACTAAAAGTGCAAATATAAGTCTAAGTGGAGAATGTAAATATGTACAGTATCAGATCTGAATTGTAGGTAGCGTAGAGTACTGCATATTTATATTGCACATATGTCCATCATGATATTGCCCTTTATGTCCTACTAATGCAAAGTCAGTGTAACTGTTATCCTTGTAATACATTTTCTATCTGGAAAAAGAAGCAGTTAGCAGTTTGATATAGTTTTGTCAACAACACATTCCTTTTCAAATAACTAATTTGCGTACGAATAATGGATAAAATCATAGTTTCTGATTGAAATTGATCAATATCAAGGGAAAACCAAAAATATTTCTTTACAACTGCAACAAACTAGACCATATATTTTGTATGCACATTGTTGTGTCAGTTATTTTATATTACTTTCTTTCCACACACTAAATTACAAATAAACCCTGTGGAATACACCCAAAGCCATTGTGATATGTGTGTTAAGTGTAGCTCCTCTATAAATATGTTATGCTATGAAAATAGACATAACTCCACAGTCCAAATAGGCATATTTATGGCTGGCAGTTACAGTAAGTGTCAGTCAGAACAACCCTTTCCTGGCCCTGCAGACATTATTTAATACTAAGACTTTATAGCTTGCAGCCTATACAATAGGAATGTAGTTTACCGGCACAACAACAAATAAATTCCTCTGTAACAAGGTCAAATAGAGCAGATATGTGCCTTTCAAAGAGTGACATTTGCCAGCTTTGTCACCTCTGTCGCTTGAACTGCCTCTCCCAAAAATAACCTCAGCTGTCAGACCCCGTCTCTGTCCATTGCCATTTGTAGAAGCGAAAGGGATATCAGCTGTTTGATAAAGCTACCACTTAAAACACATTCTACATTTCTCACAGCGAACTAAAACGTTATTTTAAAAAACATTTCAAGGTATTCCCATACTTTAATTGACGGTGTCTTAATAAACTATGACAAATGAAACACACACGCAGTTAAATGAAGTAGCTAACATTACCTGCAACTGGAAGCTAAAGCTAGGATACCTAACAGTAACTCAAATTAGCAATTAACCCTTACATGTGTGAAAGTATAACGTACAAATAAGAAGATGAAATAAATGAAAAAAACTGCTATAACTTCGGCCAATTCTTCTGTATAATTCTTAATGCAACGTGTTATTTTTGTACACATCATTTTATTATCCTAACATCAATGTTTCACCTCGAGTCTTCAGCCACTCAGGTAAAACGGGCGTTGAATCATGTGGCCTAAAACTTCAGTTTTCCGTCAAGATTTCCATATGATAGCCAACTCCAGAATCAGTGTTTTTGAGTAGTCCCAATTAAAACAAATTTCTTCTTTGTGCTCAAATATTCTTGAAATGGTTGTAAATCCAGTATGGTGGGAACATCCCCCCTGTCTGCTGCGGTGGGCGGTTGACTAAACTTGTTTTTTCTTTCTTCTCTGGTACCTCATGATGCCAAATAGCTGACGTGCCTACTTTGGCGCAGCCTCCTTTCCAAAATAGACTTGTCATTTACTGAGGAGATAGGAGATAGGCTGCTGTTGGTGAAGTCTGGAAGTAGAGCAGGCTGGCCTCTGCTGGGCTGCACACTATCATAACACTGGATTTTACTAATAGTTTACACCTGCACAGTGGGGGCTTGCAAAACCGGTAGAAAGGAACTGATTGCATTACTAAAGTAGGCTAAATGTAGACTTACTTAAGTACATTTCTGAGATTCACACATTACATCCACTCTTTTATAGGCTCATTAACAAACACAACCCCCTGGAAAAACTGGACATTCCCAATGCACACACACACGCACACGCCCCTGCCTTTTTCTTCCTCCAGAGAAAGTGCCCTTTCCCCCCCTTTTTTATTGTTTATATATGAATATATATCTACTGCTGTTTGCACACAGTTTCCCTTTCCAAAAATATATTGATTGAATACAAAATTAAAATATCAGGTCATGTTCTACCCTCCCTCCCTCGACGTCTCCTGCACAGCGGTGCGGACAGTCATCGTCAGACAGACAGGTAGCAGCACCTCCCACTTTACTGTCCCATGTTATGCCGGCTTTTCTTGGCTTATTTTGAAGGTGAGTGGTGATGAACAAATTACTAAACTGCCAGTGCCTCGAGGTTACAGCTAATTATCTAAAAGACAATAACAAATATAGTTAACTATGGTAGGCTACTAGCTAATGGATAAGTTAGCTCAAGGTTTAGCTAAGACAACTTATCATGGGCAAACAGGCTAATGTACTGTACTTAAGGGGAGAGACTTAAAGTGAATACAGTCACATTGATATGCAAATTAGGCGTTAACTAGGCCTAATTACAATGCGCTAATTTGCACCACCTCACAACTTCCCCAGATAGTTACTTACGTCAAGTCAGTATTTTCCCCTGAAATGTTATGTTTAAATATGCAGATTAGCTATAAATCTATAGATGAATTCAGACATGGTAGTAAAACGAACACCATTTATATGTGTTTCTTGGAAGTTTTATTTCCATTAGTGAAAGAAAACATGGAAGCAAAATAGACCAAAAATAACAAGTACATGAAAAAACGATATTTTTGCCTGTTATGTCTTTAAACAGTAACTTCATAATTTTGATTGTTGGCTGCAGTATTTAATAACTATTAATTGTACTAGTTTGTTGTCTGCTCTTGTGCATTGTGATTTGTGAATACTAAAGAAGACCATTGTCTCTGTGTTAGCTGATTATTTTTGTATAATTCTGTTGAGTATTAAACAATTGTGTGAGTGTGAGGGTATTAAAATTAATTGGTCAGTAAGTCAGAGATGTGCAACTATATTTAACTTTTTGTTTTAATAAATGATTATGGGAAGTGCCCTTTTTCTCCCTTGAGCACCCGCCCCCCAAAATGTCTGTGCACGTCCCTGAGACACACACACACACACACACACACACACACACAACACACACACACACACACACACACACACACACACACACAACACACACACACACACACACACACACACACACACACACACACACACACACACACACACACACACACACACACACACACACACACACACACACACACCACACACACACACACACACACACACACACACACACACACACACACACACACCACACACACACACACACACACACACACACACACACACACACACACACACACACACACACACACACACAAACACAAACAGTGTGCTGGACTTTCTTCAAATTACTACCGCGTAATATTTTACCAACAACAAAATATGATACTGTGCTTCCGGGGAGGAAGGTTACTCAGTAAATGTAATTTCAAGTAGGCCTACTGTTGGCTACTTAAAAACCAATGTAAGGTGCTTGTATTACATCCATTTATTTCACATAACTTCAGTAAAGACTAACTTGGCAGATTAATATTACCAACATAAAATAGAATCAGATAACATATTAATTTGAACATGCTAAAATGACTACTACTCTTAATAATAATAATAATAATAATAAACAATTGTAATAGACAAAAAATCGATAATTATTGTATAAACATTATATATAATTAATAATACATTATATAAGAAATGCAAATGCTCTCATGCTTTATTGTAAGTGCAAATGTGTGACCTGCACATCATCCTCTTGCCACCTCTGTATCTGATTTTCTGATATTGGATCATCTTACCAGAGTGTGGTGCATGCTGAGCTTGAGGATAAGCTAAATTAAATCTAAATGTAATTAAAAGTTTCTGAATGTGAACTTCAGCATTGGAGTTCTCGAGCAAAACAGAGGTGACTTGGAGTTGCCTACTACTTTTATAGTTTCCCTTGTTTTCAAATGTTCAGCTATATTATGATAACTATTCTCATTCACTAAACACATGGACATGTAATTGGTATCAGTTTGCTAGCATGGCTGTGTTCTCTTCTTTCACTATGGCCATAAAAGCTTTCATCAGTAGTAGATTATCTGTTGTAAATTCTTAAGTTTCTAAGTGAAGCTTGGCATTACTGCAACACTTTGGTCAAATGTAAAGTGACTAAACTTGCCCTGTGTAACATATTGTACTCCACTGCCGCCACCACCATCATCTCTGTGATGACAGCTGCTTCATCCAGCTGGTCAGCTCCATAAATAAGGTATGACTTCATATTTAACAAAAGCGTTACATGTATCTGCCGTGACCACCATTCAGTATTATATAGCAATCATTACATGACATTTAATTCTATCATGCTATACTTTATCATATATTTATAGATAGGGTTCTATTTAATGTTTATAGTGTGTAGAAACAAGCGGTATAGCTAGCCTTACCCCTTTCTTCCCTATTCTCTGGCCTCTACGGTATTTTCTTGGTCTTCCCGTGTGGGCTTTCCCCCAGTGCCAGTGACTGACAGCAGCAGGTCGCCTGGACCTGATTTAAACTCGCCGAAACTCTAGCAGACAGTAATCCACTGTTGCTGCTTGCCTGGTTCATCCTGTTCTGGCTTCTGTGTGTGGTTTCCATGCTCCTGAAAGTCTACTGATACAAAAATAAAATACAAGAAATTGAAAGCCAACTCTTTGATCTGCGTCTGTGTCACATTCATTCAAACATTAGAAGATCACAAAAGTGTAATATACAGTATATGAAAAATATGTTGAAATTAATTCAAATGTCAACTTACCCCAAGTTGTTCTTCTTCTCTGTTTTTGCTCTATGACTCTTGATGCTCAATCATACAAAGAAAAATGGTACCCCCTTGATTTGTGAAGAAAACTCACGCATGGCCACCACAGTGAATTCACAATTTTATGTAGACCATTTTGAACAGTAAGGTTTTAAGGAAAAATGCATGTGTTTGAGAAGTAGTTTACGAATACGACTAGGTAAATGTAACTTTGAGTTGTTTTGTGCGAGTTTAAAATAATCACATTTTGATATAGTTTGTGTGTTAAAGCTGAAGTAACTTAACAAAAAATATCTTTGTTGCTTAAACTGTCAGAAAATAATATGGGAAAACAATCTGGTTGTTTGCCACTAAAGGAAAAAAACAATCAGAGCTGAACAGTTTAAGAAGAATTCAAGGTATACATAAAGTAATTTATATACATTTGTTCATTTTGAGGTGAACTTTTCCTCAAATAGCATCAAACAATGTTTTTTTCTTTTAATCAGTCTTGGACAGTATTCAGTCTCTGATGGCACTTGGATTACAATACAGCAGAGGGCAGCAGACAGACACATATACTGTATATAACTTGGCTTTGCTGTTCAGCAACTAAAGAGTTACATACAATTCCACATAAAAAATGTGTTTGCGATGAGACCATTTTCACAGAATGCTTCCAGCGTTAGGTGCCACTATTTTACCTACATGGCCTTCCACTTGACCTCTTACCCATATCGAGAAAAAAGGTCACAGTGTATCATGTTCACAGCCAAAACACATCCTCAAAACAACATTTACATGGCAGGCAACAAGTGGGTCAAATGTCGCAGCAAAGGCAGAGTGAAGCCAAGAATGAACAGCAGATGGCTTTCATGTCCCTAAAATGGTCAATGGGGATATTGGGAACAAATGATTTAAACCAACTGGATAAAAGACAAAGGAATAGATACAGAGACAAAATAGTGCATCTCAAATAGAGGTGTGTGGTGTTTATTTACAATGTTTATTTACAGAGTACCAGTAATACAACAGGGGTACACAGGGCAATGAGCTTTCACTGCATCAAACATAAATCAACCTAACCATTCTAACCCACAAAACCAAACAAAAACATGTAACTAATTTACAAAGATTTTTAAAAATCACACTCAACGTGGATTGGACTAAATAATTTCAATCAGGCCACGAGTGAGAGTAGCAGAGTTGCGGTAATGAGACACGGAGGGACGGAGGAAGGGGAAGAAAGCAAAGGAGACACAAAACATGTAAATACGTTTTCCTTTAAGAGTTTTGAGCCCGTAATATAATATGCATCTTGAGTAAAAGCAGAGCGGAGCAAGAGATCAAAAGATGAAAACAAAACCTGCTGATGACTTATAAGACAGAAATCAGACGCATGTACAATATGAAATGTATTAATCTATCTCTGCTTGAGATGTTCGTCATTAGGTACACTTTTTTTTTCAGTGTATGTATCTTTTTGTCTGTGTTTTTACTTTGTCCACCTTTAAAGCACTTTGCATTGCCATCTACCACAGTGTGATACCACCTCTAAGAATCAACCAAATTAGACATTTTCAAATCCTTCACAAAGCTTTAAGTATCCTTCAGTTTTTTTTTGGGTCACTTTGCAGAGTTGGATGTCTATATCTATCGCTGCACAGTCTAACATATTATAAGGACATCTCAGACTTATCAGGCTCTACTTAATTTAGACAGACTAATATATTGGTGTCAGAAATGTCCAAGACTTAAAGAGAAAAGCTCCCAC